GGAGAACATAAGCAAAACACTCTCCGACATAAATCACAGCAGGATCCTCTATGACCCACCTCCCAGAATATTGGAAATAAAAGCAAAAATAAACAAATGGAACCTAATGAAACTTAAAAGCTTTTGCACAACAAAGGAAACTATAAGCAAGGTGAAAAGACAGCCTTCAGATTGGGAGAAAATAATAGCAAATGAAGCAACAGACAAAGGATTACTCTCAAAAATATACAAGCAATTCCTGCAGCTCAATTCCAGAAAAGTAAATGACCCAATCAAAAAATGGGCCACAGAACTAAACAGACATTTCTCCAGAGAAGACATACAGATGGCTAACAAACACATGAAAAGATGCTCAACATCTTTCATTATCAGAGAAATGCAAATCAAAACCACAACGAGGTACCATTACACGCCAGTCAGGATGACTGCTATCCAAAAGTCTACAAGCAATAAATGCTGGAGAGGGTGTGGAGAAAAGGGAACCCTCTTACACTGCTGGTGGGAATGCAAACTAGTACAGCCACTATGGAGAACAGTCTGGAGATTCCTTAAAAAACTGGAAATAGAACTGCCATATGACCCAGCAATCCCACTTCTGGGCATACACACCGAGGAAACCAGATCTGAAAGAGACACGTGTACCCCAATGTTCATCGCAGCACTGTTTATAATAGGCAGGACATGGAAGCAACCTAGATACCCATCAGCAGACGAATGGATAAGGAAGCTGTGGTACATATACACCATGGAATATTACTCAGCCATTAAAAAGAATTCATTTGAATCAGTTCTAATGAGATGGATGAAACTGGAGCCCATTATACAGAGTGAAGTAAGCCAGAAAGATAAAGACCAATACAGTATACTAACGCATATATATGGAATTTAAAAAGATGGTAACGATAACCCTATATGCAAAACAGAAAAAGAGACACAGATGTACAGAACAAACTTTGGGACTCTGTGGGAGAAGGCAAGGGTGGGATGTTCTAAGAGAACAGCATTGAAACATGTATACTATCAAGGGTGAAACAGATCACCAGCCCAGGTTGGATGCATGAGACAAGTGCTCAGGGCTGGTGCACTGGGAAGACCCAGAGGGATGGGATGGAGAGGGAGGCGGTGGGGGGGGATCAGGATGGGGAACACATGTAAATCCATGGCTGATTCATGTCAATGTATGGCAAAAACCACTACAATATTGTAAAGTAATTAGCTTTCAACTAATAAAAAAATAAATAAAAATAAAAAGTGCATTCTGATATAAATAAACAGATAAGTTCAGATTTTAAGACAACTGATCTGTTTTTTCAATAAACTAATAGCAAAAAAAGGGGGAAAAAAAGGTAGTAGTGAAGTATTGGGACTGCTATAGCTTAAAAGATATTTAAGAGAGAATAACCAAATGCACTGTGTAGATTCTGGTTTCTGACTCAAGCAAACCAACCATAAAAAGACAATTCTGAGACAATTAGGGAAATGTAAACAAGCACTAGATTTGGATAATATCAATTAATTACTGGTAATTTTGGAGGACTAATGACTTAATGGAGATGAGATAAAAAGTTGCAAACTAAAGTATGCTTTACAGATGTAAACTAAAATATGTTATTATGAAATGACAGAACACATGGGATTTGGTGGGGACAAAAAAGTGTACCTCTTTCTATATAAAAAAATAAATACACGAAAGTTGAGATACTATGATTAGAATTTTGTTCAAAAAAGCAGTAAAAGAGATAACACAATACATTAATACAATCATAAATCAAAATAAAGTGCTCTTTCTATAAAAAACTGAAGGGCTTGAGTATAATTATCTATACAAAGAACATCTATGCGGTGGTAAAAGGAAGTTTGAGGGCCAGAGAAATTTAAAGTGGTGCCATTCTGATAGTACTGTATAAGAAGGTCTTTAGAATAACACAGTTCTGTCATTTAAGGTATACTTAGGGCCACACAGAATGTTGGAACCAAGCATGAAAATCAGATCTTCTCACTTAGAATTGATATAAAGGTGGCTGTGTCTGCCTTTAAACATGACAAAATCCTATGAAGAACCTAAACTATACTTTTCCTTTTAGATTTTTAAACTTTTCTGTATCATTCAGTTATTCAGTTATAGTTTGGTGAAAGTCGCTCAATCGTGTGCAACTCTTTGTGGCCCCATGGACTGTAGCCTGCCGGTCTCCTCTGTCAATGGAATTCTCCAGGCAAGAACACTGGAGTGGGCAGCCATTTCCTTCTCCAGGGGATCTTCCTCACCCAGGGATCAAACCCTGGTCTCCTGTATTGCAGATCCATTCTTTACCAGCTGAGCTACCAGGGAACCATCAATAAATGACTGACCTTATCAAAATATCTTTTTCAATGTGCTTAGGGTTTGTCTCGACTGCTTCTCAAATGGATATTTGGTAGAAGATTTTTTAAAAAAGGAAAATAAATCTAAGGAGTAACATCAACAAAACTACCTTAACATTTCCAAGTGAAATTTATATCATGCTATGGAGAATAAAGACACAGTTTTGACCTCCAGGTAAAATGCAAGAAAGAATAGTCAATATGTTATCAAGTCCAAGCTCGCTCTGCTCTCCACAAACAGGCACCAATCCAAGAGATGAGAGGTTGAGGCAAGAAGGGACTATAATTGGGGAGCCAGCTGATGGAGAAGATGGCAGGCTAGCACCTCAAAATAACCATCTTACAGGGTCTGGATGCCAGGTTCTTTTATAGATCAGACATGGGGGAAGGTGAGGAGGCAAAGTTTAAAAAGCCATTAATATTGCAAACATCTCCCAGAATGGCAAACCTCAGGCAGAGGTTTTGTTAATTTCTTCCTTCCTGCCAGCTACAAGTGGACAGGGTTCTGAACAAAGGCACTCTAGTTTAACGGTCAGGCAGAGGGGCAGGATTCTTTAAGGCTGGCCATCATTCTGTAGGATTATAACAGAAGCAGTGAAAACAAGTCAAAGAAACAGTATGAACATGGAATCAGAATCGGCTTCTCTGCAACAAATCTAAGGTAAGCAACACAGAGATGTGACAGTAAAAGGGAACAACAGGACGAATGACAGGGAGAGGAAAGTGCCCATTTGGAGTGCCCAATAACTACCTCAAAGTGAGCGTTTTATTTTGCTTTTTCTGTGAGTTTGAACGATGTCATTGCTGCCCTGCGAATAGGAAGACTTGCTAAGAGTGTGAAAGGGCTTTGAAAAGTTTTCATTTTTCAAGTTGGTTTCTAAAATCTAAAAGAAATAAGTTGAACATCTCTTCCAAAAAGTAGCTCGCTGGTAAACAATCTGCCAGCAATTCAGGAGATCCCAGTTTGATTCCAGGGTTGGGAAGATCCCCTGGAGAAAGACTAGGCTACCTACTAAAATATTCTTGGGCTACCTTAGTGTCTCAGATGGTAAAGAATTCACCTGCAGTACGGGAGACCTGGGTTCAATCTCTCGGTTGGGAAGATCCCCTTGAAAAGGACATGGCTACCCACTAAAGTAAAATCTAAAAGAACATCTCTTTCGGAAAATAAAAAATAAAAAAATAAAATAAAATAAAAAAAAATATATATATATACACACACACAAAAACTTTGTACTCAGCATAGGTTTTAGTTCTCTTAGTTTTGGAATGAAAACATTCCAAAGGAAGTCTAGGGAGAAGGGAGGAATCAGTTCTTGTCACCCTTCTCATCGACCCCCACCCGCTCTAATCCCAATGGTACCCCCACCGTAGCCCCCCACCCGTCATCCCCCGTCAGGGTACTGCACTCGTCAACCGGGAAAGGACAACGAGCTGCAGTGGGTAGGTTATGTGGGGGGTTTTGGGGAAGGCGGAGGATGGAGGGGGGTGCTGGGGGTACTCGCTGAGAAAGAGGAGAGAAACGACAGTCTGAGAGCCAGGACAACAGCGAGTTAGAACGAGGCGAAGGAAGCCTTTTCCCACCGCGCCCGCACTTACTGTCGGTAAACTCCTGAGGTAGAGGCGAATGGGTTACCATGGCGACCGCGTCCAGAGGGCGGAGCGGCGCTTCCGATCGGTGCCCTCGCCATTGTGGCTCGGCTGGAAACTTGACTGCGTTAGGGCAGCGACTTCCGGCGGAAGCAGAAGCTGGTTCCGAGGTTTGGCAGAATGCAGGCTCGGAGTGGGCTCTAGTGGCTCTAGTGGCTCTAGTGTTGGTAAGTTTGCGATCGAGTGGATCCAGGAGAGGGTACGAGTCTGTGACTGGGCGACACAGCGCACCATGAGTGCAGTGGATTTCCGAGTCCCAATTTTGAGGAAGCCCCGGATGTCTCGTTGAGTCTGCGGCTGTGGGAAGTAGTTGCCTGGTTCTGGGGCTCCTGGCGGGTTCTTTTCGGTTCGGGAGGGCTGTCACGTCTTCCCTTGAACAGTTTCAGGAGCTCTTTGCGAGGTCTGAGTGCCTGTCCAATAATTGAGGGGTTGTTGCTCTCCACCTGCCAGTGCTGACTGGCTTTTGGCATGTTATTCTTTGAAGATAACCAGAAAGACAAGAAGTGAACTGGAGAGGGAATGCTCCCAAATTGACTTTAATTCCTCGTTTTGCTTTTTAAGAATATTTGTTCATTTTATAAACACTTATTAAACTCTAGTGTGTTTAGTGAGTACTTAACACTGTGTCGCTTTTACCAAGAGACTAGCAGAAACACCTTTCTTAAAGGGTCATCCACCGCTCGGGTTCATTATCGAAAATTTTTTTTTCTTACGCTGTTGTATATTCGTTCATTTAAGATATAAGCGTATATCATGAAAAATCTAACAGATTTTCCCACACTTTTCTGTATACTTAAACGTGAAATTCTTGGGGCGTTTCAAATGAAAATAATTGCTTTTTCAGGCTTGCATTAGTATCATGACTTAATGTTACAGAACTTAGAGAAGCTGTACCTAGTTATTTCCCAGATATACACAAACTGTAATGAATTGTCGTCAACATTTCTATTCCGCTGATCTGAAAAGGACCACTTCTTGTTCAAGGGATGATGGCGTTTGAGCAGATACCAAAAAAGGATTGGTACAGCATTCTGGAAGCAGACCCATCTGCAAGTGTGTCAGACCTAAAACAAAAGTATCAAAAACTCATTTTAATGGTAAGTCTTTTGTTTTCGATTCTGTGTTGCAGGGGGAAAATAGGGTTTTTTTATGTGACCAGAAATACAGGTTTCTGTACCATGAATATGTGATATCAAAGCAGGAATCAAAAGTATTAATTTGGTTAATTGAAAGTTTCAGTAGTAGTGTAAAAGAAAAAAGTTAAAGTGGAATTTCATAGTGATTTGGATCATATCTGAGTCATGCTGATTGGTTTAAAATCCTGATTCTACCACTAATTAATCTTGGGAACTCGGGCAAGTTATTTTCCCCTATATTTTCTTTGTGTTGGCTAAAGTCATGTTCCATTCTTTGTGAGCACGAATTGTAGCCTGCCAGGCTCCTCTATCCATGGAATTTTCCAGGCAAGAAATACTGGAGTGGGTTGCCATTTCCTTCTCCAGGGTATCTTCCGCGCCCACGGATCAAACCTGCATCTCCTGCATTGGCAGACAGATTCTTTACCACTGAGCAACCTCAGGGAGTATTAAATGAAATAATCCGTGTGAATTTCCTTGAAGTGTGTCATGTAGTAATCAACATTAGCATCCAGTAAACACTAGCTACGTGTGGCTATTATGCACCTGAAATTTGGCTAGTCAAAAATGAGGTGTGCTATAAGAATAAAACAGACATTGGGTTTTGGAGGCTTAGTACAGAAAAAGAATATAAAATAATCTAAAATTTTTATGTTTATTTAATATTGAAGTGATAATGTTTTGGATATATTGGCTGTTTTACATATTTTATACATATACAGTAAACATACTATCAAAATTGCCAGGCTTCCCTGGTGGCTCAGATGGTAAAGAATCATCCTGCAAGGCAGGAGACCTAGATTTGATCCCTGGGTTGGGAAGATCCCCTGGAGAAGGGAATGGCAGTCCACTCCAGTATTCTTGCCTGGAGAATTCCATGGACAGAGGAGCCTGGCAGACTATACAGTTCATAGGGTCGCATATACCCTAAATGTATTATCAAAATTGACTTCATCAATCTGCTTTGTAAACATTGCATATATGGCTTGCATTTATAGTTTACATTATATCTTTATTGGATAATACTGATTTAGGCCAGTTAAAGACTTGTTTTTCACTGATTTCATTCCTTTGTGAAATGGGTTGTGGTATTTATAAAGAGATAGTATCTTTCTAAACTACCATATTAATTTTTTCAGCTTATATTGTGAGGTTTCTTAAGGAAATCGGTAACTATAATAACGTCCAGTTAACTCAGTTTACGAAAAGAATAGAGGATCATTACTTTTATAATATGAGTTGTTTCTCAAGTTTTTATTAGATAGATCTGTGAGATTTTGTCATAACAGTGTGAGACAGTAGATGTTTCACTGTCAAGAATATATTATTATCCCTGCTCTAGGTAATATGTTGAGCTAAATGATGTTAAGGTTTCTTTTGTCTCAGGATTTTTAAGATTTCTGTCAGTAAAATCAAGTAGACTTTTTGGAAAATTATTTTAGTACCGTATCATTCTGTGCCTCGGTTAACGGAGATATGAGACTGGAGAAGTACACTGGCTTTAGATCATGCATGGCCCTGTAAGCCATTTGGCATTTAATTTGACAAGATGTTATTTGCACTTAGTATAGTAATACCTGTCAAACGTCAAACAAAGTGAATGAACCGTTTTGCATCCCCTCTAGTAATATATCCCAGAGTTCCGGTTGCTCTACATCTTCCCCAACATTTGATGCTATTAAGTATCTTTAAATTAATCTCTTAGGAGTTTTTCAGTTTTGCCACCATTGACATTTTGGGCGGGATAATTTTTCTGTGGGGTTATCCTGTGCATTGTAGGATGCTTCTCAGCATTCTAGATGCTGGTAACAACTAAAAATGTCTCCTGGTTGTAAAAATTGCAAACCTCCCTATCTCATTGACAACCACTGCACTGCATAGTTTTCCTATGTTCATAGTGATATCTCATTGTGGTTTTGTATTTCTCTCATGGCTGATGGTGTTAAGCTAAGTTTTAATGTGATTTTAGCCATTTGTATAATTTTCTTTCGTGAAGTCTCTTTTGAAAAAATTACATGTTTCCTTGATCTTGTATATAGATAAATGTATGTATTTTCTCCTAGTCTGTGGCTTGCCAGCTCATTTTCCTAATGGTATTTTTTGAGGAGAAGTTTTTTGTTTTGGTGAACTGCAATTTATCAGATTTTTGTTTTATGATTAGTGCTTTCTGTGTCTTCTCTAGGAAGATCATGAAAATAATCTCCTATGTTTTCTTCTAGAAGATATGTAGTTTGCTTTTACCTTCGCATGCATGCGTGCTCAGTCGTGTCCAACTTTGCGACCTCATGAACTAGAGCCCGCCAGGCTCCTCTGGCCATGGAATTTTTCAGGCAGGAATACTGGAGTGGATTGCCATTTCCTATTCCAGGGGATCTTTCCAACCCAGAGATCAAACCCACGTCTCTTGCATCTCCTACATTGGCAGGTGGATTCTTTACTGCTGTGCTGCCCGGGAATTGTGTGTCCTGTGATATAGGAAGTCATGTTTTTGGTTTTCCCTCAGTAAGGATATCCAGTGTTTATCATTTGTTGAAAAGATTTTCCTCTCTCCATTGGATTGTCTTGGCAAGATGAATCTATTTTTGGACTATATTCTGTTTAATATATTTGTTTATCCTTTTACTAATACTTTTGTCTGGATTACTATAGGTTCACAAGTAGGTACTACTTAAGTCACATAAAGTTAAATAATCTTATTCTACTTTTAAATTTTATTTTGGTTAATTTAGATTGCTTGCATGTACCATCTAAGCCACCACAGAAGCCTCAGTGTTTACATTTAGTATGGTTATTCCAGCTCCAAAAATAATTGGGAAATGACTCCATTTTCTCTCTTTTCTGAAAAAGTTTGTGTAAGATTGCTATTGTTAATTATTTAAATGTTTAATATAATTTACTAGGGAATTAAACTGGGTCTGAACTTCTCTTTGTGGGAAATTTTGCAGTTATGTGTTTATTTTTAGAGGCTATAGGGCTGTTTAGAGTTTCTATTTTCTGTTTTGTCAACATAAGTGAATTACATTTTTTCAAGAATTTGTCCATTCCATTTAAGAAGTCTAACATACTTCAGGGCGTCCCTGGTGGCTCAGAGGGTCGAGAGTCTGCCTGCAATGCGGGAGACCCAGGTTTGATCCCTGGGTTGGGAAGATCTCCTGGAGAAGCAAATGGCAATCCACTCCAAAATGTTCATACTGTTTCCTTATTAGTCCTTTACTGCTATAAATTATGTAGCTTTGTTTTCCCTTTGATTCTTTATATTGGTAATTTGTGTTTTCTATTTATTTTTTCCTGATGAGGCTCACTAGAGTTTTTGGTATTTCTTTAATCTTGTTTGCCAAGAACAAACTTTTACTTTGTTGACATTTTTATATCATTTATTCATTTCTCTTCACTTGATTTCTGTTTTTAATTTTGTAATATCCTTTCTTCTACTTATTTGCTTTTATTTTCCTGGTTTATTAATGTGGAGCCATTCATCATTGAAAGTACACCTGTCTTCTTACAATCTTAACATAGTCACTTAAAGCTATAAATTTCACTCTAAGTTAGGAAAACTGCTTTAACTGCATTCTACAAATTTCGATATGGGTATACTCAAATTATATAAAAGTTTCTCCTATAATAGTTTTCTTTGACCTATGGGCTACTAGGAAGTACACTGTTTAATTTCTAGACATTGGAAAATATTCAGAACTCTTATTGATTTCTAGTATAATTCTGTTGTGATTAGAAAATACATTTGGTATGATTTCATTCCTTTATATTAATTAAAACATTTTTATGGCCTAGCATATGATCTGTCTTAGTGAATATTCCCATGCCCTTGAAAAATATATATTTGGCTTTTATTGAATATAGTGTTCTATAAATGTCTGTTAGATCAAGTTGATAGTATTCAAATACTTTATATCCTTATTAATATTTTTTTGGACGATTTTTATCAGTTTCTGAGAGAAGGACATAACGTCTTCAACTGTGATTGTGGATTTGTGTTTTCCTCTTTAGTTTTGCTAATTTTGTTTTATTTGTTTGGGATCATTTTTATTGGGTGAATATATATGTGTGTGTGCATAAAGATTATGTCTTTATGAATTTGAACCTTTGATCATTATGAATTTCCCCTTTGTATTTCTGACAGTATTCTTCCTGAAGTCTACTTTGATATTTCTGTAGCCACACACCTTTCTTACCCTTCAGTTCAATTCAGTCGCTCAGTCAGTGTCCGAATCTTTGCAACCCCATGGACTGCAGCACACCAGGCCTCCCTGTCCATCACCAACTCCTGAGGCTTACCCAAACTCATGTCCATTGAATCAGTGATGCCATCCAACCATCTCATCCTCTGTTGTCCCCTTCTCCTCCCACCTTCAATCTTTCCCAGCAGGGTCTTTTCAAATGAGTCAGTACTTTGCATCAGGTGGCCAAAGTATTGGAGTTTCAGCTTGAGCATCAGTCCTTCCAATGAGTAGTCAGGACTGATTACCTCTAGGATGGACTGGTTGGATCTCCGTGTAGTCCAAGGGACTCTCAAGAGTCTTCTCCGACACCACAGTTCAAAAGCATCAATTCTTCAGTGCTCAGCTTTCTTTATAGTCCAGTTCTCACATCCATATGTGTCTGCTGTAAAAATCATAGCTTTGACTAGATGGACCTTTGTTGGCAAAGTAATGTCTCTGCTTTTTAATATGCTGTCTAGGTTGGTCATCACTTTTCTTCCAAGGAGCAAGTGTCTTTTAATTTCATGGCTGTAGTCACCATCTGCAGTGATTTTGGAGCCCCAAAAGATAAAGTTTCTCACTGTTTCCATTGTTTCCCCATCTTTTGCCATGAAGTGATGAGACCGGATGCCATGGTCTTTGTTTCCTGAATGTTGAGTTTTAAGCCAACTTTTTTACTCTCCTCTTTCACTTTCATCAAGAGGCTCTTCAGTTCTTCATTTTCTGCCATAGGGGCTGTGTCAT